CAAAGCAAAACCCCCCCCCCCCCCCCCCCCCCCGAGGACAAAACAGACATTTTCCAAGGGAATAGCAGAAACCAGTGATATTCTGATTTGGTTGGGGTTTTTTTTTTTATTTTAATGGCCAAATGTGGAAATATATGAAAGTGCAGTTACTTTCCTTTTGAGCTGGACGATGAAAGCGGCTATTGAGAGTGGGTTTACCTGATTTCTCTGTTAAAGAATATAACAGATGTGTTAAATGTCCTATGTTTTAAAAGCACCCTATTCAGTTCTTTGGTGTTGCTGAACCTTTGCAAGCAGAAGTGTGCAGCCTCAGCCATGAAGCCTTTATCCTATTAACCATGAACTAACTGTCACCTTCAGCTGTTTTCCCTTTTTACTTTTTAACACAAAGCTTTCTCAAAAATCTTATTAACCAGCTTTATTTCTCTCGATGGTTTTTGTCCGGCCGTTTTGTGTTGATGATCTCCATGTCGATGCTTTAACCATTCAATAAAAGTGCATCTGCGATTTATATCACATTAGGGAAGAAAGAAAGTCTGGTAAACCTCTCTCTCGATTCAAATCAAAAAGTTATTTATTGGAGGGGACGGGATTCGCAGTCGAAGTGATACGAGGCCCGCAAGTTTCTCCAAGTCTCTAGCCAAGGGTGGCTTTGCGGGACCTGGAAGAGCTGTTGGATGGATTTAAAAGCCCGTCTTTATTGCTGCTGATGCTTTGCAGGGAAACAGAAAAGAAGTTAGCAAGACCTACGGAAGGACCCGAGCTCGGAGGGGCTCCAAAGCAGGCGCCTCCTAATGCCTGCTGACCGGGGGAGGGCAGTGCCAGCCTTGCTGGGACCATCTCCCCCTCTCTTTTCTTCTTTAAACATTTTATCTCCCTCCTCTACGTCGGAGCGGGGCATTTCACTAAGGCTGAGACCGGACAGATGCGGGGATGTTCGGTGGGGGGGGGTTCCTACCAGGTGGAAGAGGGGTAAATTAAATAATTGCAATTAAAAAAAAAAAAAAGCAGAAAAGAGCTCCCCCAGGATACACACATAAATGAGCCCCCCCCCCGACACAGCACCCGCACCCCCACACTCCGCCTTGCCCAACACAACTTCAGTGCCTTGAAGGCGGATCTGAGACCGCTTCGTTTTTACAGTCATTATACTTTCCATTGAGATGATTTAGTCCTTTCTTTACCTATACATCGGGGGCATTTTGCCTGACTATAGACCAACTGCTGCTAATTTCTCTGCTTTTAAAAAAAGGGGCTGACATTTTCGGGAAGGTTGGGTCAAGCGCATGCTGGGGCACACGTGGGCCCGGGTCCTTGTGCTGTGTCTTAGCCCGCTCATAAAGAATCCCTTAAGCACCAAGGCAAAAGGGACTAGACATCTATTGAAAGGGAAGAGAGGCCGTAAGAAACCAAGAAATCGGACGAAAGGATCTTATTTTCAGTGATCTCCTTTGGACGCTCCCTTTCAAAGGCAGTGATCATTTAGGAGAAGGGACTCCTAATGTCTGGAGATAAAACCTGTGACTAATGCTGTTTGACCTATGCTCAGGCGGTTTTGTGCTTCCTGCCATTCATTTTAATGTCGTTATCTTCAAATTTATTTCTTAAAAGTCACTCAAGTTGCATGGCGTCCCCTCTGCGCTTAAGGGGGGAAAGGACAAAGCTAAGGAGGGGGGGGGGGGACACTCGGCGCTGCGTGTGTCGCCGGCCCGGCTGGTTAATCCGCATGAAATCGCCAGCCCTGTCTCGGGACAGCGGCTCTCGGGGCTGGGCGCTCAAAACCGCGTCTGCCCCCACCCCACCCATGGGGCCCTTCCTGAGCATCGCCCCTGCCTGCAGGACGTGTCCCACCGCCTTGATCTTGCCACTTGCCGCACCTGCAAGGCACGGAGGGGAAATCGCAGACGCCCTCCGAGTGCCGCGAACGGCTCAGAACCAGCCGCCTGGCATCAGTACTATTGTTATTAACAGTATTATTATTAATGTATGTCCTTGTGCTGGAAAAGCAAAGAGGCTCTGGGGTTTCCTCTAGTTCAGTGGTTCTTAACCTTTTTTTTTTGGACCGGGACCCAGCTGTAAGCAGTGATGGCCAGTGCTGCCCCCAGCGCCTGGGGCAGGGGCTTGGGTGCCCCAAGCAGCCTGCAAGGGAAAAGCCACGGGCTCCCCCGTTTTTCTCCTTTAAAGGAGAATCCATTTTTCCAAGTCGGTCCATCTATTTTCCGAGTCGGTCCGTGACGGTTTCGCCTCTTGTTCCCACCCCGTCGCGGGTGGGAAGCGCTGCTCCTCCACAGTGCCCAGCAAGGCACGGGGGCAGCTGCCCCTTCTGCAGCCAGACACCCGGGCACGGCTGCTTCTTTCTCCGCGGTGCAGCATGGCCCAGAGGTACCACCCGGGCTTGGTGTGTCCTGGGCTCACGGCAAGCAGGTGGCATCCCGAGGCTCTCATCCAACAGGGGACTGATGGGACTCGGGGTCCTGCGCTTTCCCCTTCCCAAGCGCTTCTCCCCTGCCGGCCCAGGCCCCCCCCCCCCCCCGCCCTTTTTAAGGCAGCTGGGGGCCAGGTAGCGGGGGCG